TCAATAGTTGGACCGATATCGACGAGTAAGGTGCGATAAAAAATTAAAAACTCAAAAAATCTGGATATTGTTTGGGAATATTTTGGCATCCGGGCTAAATTTTTCCTTGCTTTATATTTTCATGACTTCATTTATTAATGTATTAGTGCCTAATGATTGGCAATTGTAATTGGCTTCATTTTTTTCCTGAGACATTTCCACAGATTCGGTTCGGTTTTAAAGATATGGCCCAGCAAACAACAAGAAGATGGGTAATCAAAAATTTTGGTTTTTGGCTCAGAAAGGTGGTCGCCGGTAACTTTTTTCGACTTTTCGTAATTTATTTATTATTGACCCATTACGACCTTCAAAATAAAATAATAAAAAGCTGTGGCCATTTATCACCCTCTGATTTCCCTAGTCCTTCCGTTCATTTAACAGTTTACTTTTACACATGTTCAATAATGATTAAGCCGCTTAACAGTACAATTTTATTAAGTCGGAAATTATGAAAAATATTTTTAAATTACAAATGTTAAAAAACGGTTTGACATTGCTAATATTGTTGAAAAACATCGTAGCATAGCTTAACATTCGTCTATTACCTTACATACTCAGCTTTATTGCATAGTAATCAGTTGAACTATTTTTGCACAATTTTGTGCACTTTTCCGGATTTTTGGTGGGTGTTATTAAACACATTTTTATGCACTAATTTTGTGCAGATGTTTTTTAACAGCAGAAGCATCGATTAGTTAAATAATATCAGATTTAAAGGCCTTTAAATCTAGTTAATAATTAGTTTCGACTTATTTTAGCCAATTCGTGCTTAACGAATTTCATGTTTTGTCGGTTCGCACAGATTTGGTTGTTTTTATATTTACAAGCTTACCTTAAATTAGGACTTAAAGTCACTTACTCTGTATTTACTTCTCTAATTCCTTCACCTCACCTAAGCACGACACAGTCTCATCGAATTTAAAGCTGTATCCACATAAAAGTCACAACTACATACATACATAGTATATTTACTCTCTCATCAAACTTCACAGACATTGAGATCCTAAACAACTCTGCGCAGACCTTTTTTATCACCTAAATTAATTCTTTAGACATAGTTAAGCTACTACAGTAGGAGTGCTTTCCTCATATTTTTGATCACCGAATCCCTAGCATTTGGAAATATCTCCAGTAGCAGCATGTACAGGCGAGCTCGAGCTAGTATATCATCGCTAGTTTCTAAAGCATGCAAAATACGCATTTGAATTTCAACTTTTTTCACTGATTCCACCTCTGCCATTACGTTATCCCAGTCGATTCGATGGAAATATACAAACTTTCCAAGACAGGAAAGCACACGGTATAATTAATACCTGCAAAATTTCCTGACCCGCTGCCCGTTTCAAATTCCATTCCAGATTGTGAAGCTCTGAATAGTTACAGATCCTTAGCCTTTTCAGGGCTGGAAATACTGGGAACTTCCATTCCAGTTCCCCATCATAATTTGGCAAACAGATGTCGATAGAAAGTTTTTCCAGCGTGGGAGAATGTTTCTTCAGTAATTTATATAAAATCGTTGGCAGCTCGTGCACAGAACGATTATCAGTTTCAAATACGATTTCTATACCAAGGTTCTTCAAAGTAACGGGAAATTTTAGAAGACACTCCATCTCTTGTGGGTCCAATTCTCCAGTGAAGGTCAATGAACTTAGTGATCTGAAAAAATAATTAAGACTTTATTAACACACGGTCGAGGCCACAGGCCACATCCGTCTGGAGCATTAAGCTTACAGCGGAAACCTTGGCATGGGCTGCATCTTTGAAATCTTATCCAAATCCTTGCAGCTCATTTTGAGATGTATTAAACCGGGCAACGATTCTGTAAAAGCCTGCCCAATTCTTTCCACAGATTTATTTCCAAGCAGCGCGTAATAATATTCGTAATCTATCACTAATTTAGTCAATTTTGGGAAAACAGTTTTAGAAATTGGAGGTATATCTTGATCATGGTCCCAATCAAACTTTAGGTTTTCCAGAGTGGTGGACGAAGCCAATATAATTTTCTCACACAAGTCATTCTGCCACGGTGTTGCTTTCACTTTTGAAGATCACTTGAAGAAGAAATCACTTTTGGAGTCCACAAAACTCCTCACCCGAGTACGCTGCACCCTATCCTATGACTATAGGATAGGGTGCAGCGTACTCGTATTGTGGGTTCGAATGGAAGGGTGACCGATAAGCAGAAATGAAGATGAGACAAGCAACGATGATAGAGAAAGCCGATTGAGAAATAAATACTGATATAAATTTAACAAGTGCTTGCTCGGAGAATACGTAGTGCTCGGATTGGTTGGTAGTCGAATCGGAAAGGAAATAGATTAAATTTGCATACAAGATTAATTTGAATGAAAATACCTGATTTATCGTACACGTAGTTTAATTTGTTCAAGGAACGAAGCTAACCCTATCGAGGCAAGGTGACCGTGCGGTTGATAAGGCGAGGTAGCCTCTCAACTCCGTAGACGTGTTGGTATGTGTGGATAGGACTGGTTACCTTGTGTGGGGTGAGTGGGTGTATCACCACCACAGTGCGTGTCGTGTCGTGTCGGGTATGGTAGCCCAGGCTTTTTGTCTCAAGGTTGAAACGAGAGCCTCGCACGTTTATTTCCTGCTCGGGGTAAGCGGTTTAGATACCGCTCCACCAACGAAACTAACTTTTGCGATATTAGGTTATCGTAAGTACAACGAATTAGCAACTGAAAATATAACTTTAAATAGTGGAATTATTGGTGTGGATGATGGTGCATCCGGATTTTCTAAATGATAAGTGGTTATCGAGCTACTTGGGAAAAACTCAGACAGAACAGAAGAGACTACATGTGTATTTGGTATAGGGACAGACTACACATAACCTTACCGAGCACCACACAATATATGTCAATTCTGCCTGTTGGAGCCTAAGTAACTAACTAAGTCAACTGGTGACTAAGTAAATATTCTAACAAAATATTACACAGTTGGAATCATTCGCTTACAAAATATTTATTATTCTAAAACAGGATATTCTCTCATGTATGTATCTCTTACTACACATCCATCTCTCCATCCGGTCATAAATAATTACTAAAATAGCCTGGCATGTTATTTTAGTTTATTATGTGCTCAACTATCTATAAAGTAACATCAGAATAGGAAGACTAAAATCTAGAATAAGATTACTATCAGAAACCAGAAGTTTGTATTCAAACGGTTCAAAAATTTAAATTTAGAGCAAGTCATGAGATATTTCGGCCACAGCTTTAAGCTCGCCTCTGGAGCTTTTCGCTCTCAGAATTTAAACATTTTGGTGTATTTTGCCGTGTGGAAAATTTCCTGAGGCAACTAACTTTTCAATTCAGGCAACCTCCCATTATTGGTGCCCAGCGATTTTCGTAGCACTAATTGCGATAAAATCATCAGTACAGAAACACAAAGACTCAATTTCTGTGCTGCAAAACTACAACCATCTTCATAACCTCAGGAAACCCTGGAGGCACATCTCTTCAAATTGGTTTGGTTCGTCTCCATTAGGAAGAATAATTTGCCGTAAAACAATGAGCGCCCAGCGAAAAATCATCATCTCACCATCATGCCCCTTAGTTGCCAAGGTCAAACACCACGCGAGCTATGTTGACATATTTTTCTCTGCTTTTCCAACCTGGGATGAAAACAAGGGTAAACTGATAGTTCGAGACATCCGACACCACAACATAGTCCGAGGTGTATTAATCCTACAATTCATCGTCATCCTGCTCCAGCTATATTGCACAATAACGAAGGCTGCTAACTATCTCGAAGTTGTGGAAGGGATTGGAATAACGTCGCTATTTGTAGGCGGGTGGTTGACTAGGGCTGAATTCTACCCCGACTTCGATCAAATCCCACTCCTGAATTTTATCTGTTGGTTAACTTACGTTCGTTAAACGAAGACTATAATGATTAACACACATAAATGTATTGTTTTACTAAATAGGTGCTAAATACTCGACTCAGAAAGAATCAAAGTTCATCTGGAAGTGTCTTCTTCTGCATGGACATGGCAGCTCTGCAGTACGTGTGTCTTCCTGTGTGTGTGACCGGCTTAGCAATCCTGTTTCCCTTCAAACCGCCCCTGCTAAGCGCCCTCCTCTGCAAAAACCGGGATTGTAATTTCGCGATGAGATGCATCCTAATTATCCTTGAATTCGTCAATATGGCCATTGTCGCTACTGGTGCAGGCTACCACGGCATTGTTGTTCTAGTTACGAGCATTTCATTCATTTTATCCGGCTTGAAATATCTCAAGGGTGGAATTGCTGGTTACAAAAAATTGCAGGCTCTGGAAAAAGTCGTCAACTCTGTCATTCGCGACAGAATATTTGCAACGTATGGTTATTTCGTACCTATTCTACAGCTTTCTTTATGCTTTATTGTCATTAAGATTTGGCAAAGTCAGGGTGCAAATATTGTCCGAATGGCGATATTCATTTGTCCCTATTTGGCGTTAGTAACCCTTACCCTGGTAACATTTTCTGTTGCCGGACATATTATTACTATTAGCACCGAATGCATTTTGAAGTTCCAGGGTCAAAATAACTCGGCCTTGACGCGGAGGGTTTACAGATCTTTTGCAACTTTAAGGCCTTTTAGGATGACGCGTATCTTTCCACCCCTTCCAAAAGATAGACTTTCACTTCCCATAAAGACACATGCAAATTAAAATGCGATTTCAAAAGGCATCATCTCTGTCATTTTTGCATTAAAATGAAATATTTTTAGCAAAATGGAAAGCTAATTTATTGGTTTATAAAACCTTGGTAGTTTCGCTTCAAGTTATTCAGTTTTCACCGATATACACGAGCATTCGTCAGTTACTCACGGACGAATGCTCGTATATATCGGTGAAAACTGAATAACTTGAAGTGAAACTACCAAGGTTTTATAAACCAATAAATTAGCTTTCCATTTTGCTAAAAATATTTCATTTTAATGCAAAAATGACAGAGATGATGCCTTTTGAAATCGCATTTTAATGTTTTTTCCTTAAAATGGGGTAAATTGGAACACCGGGAAATTTTCAACTGGTGATTTTACCACATTGCCTTGTTGTGGATCCGTTGAGTTTCTCCTCCCTCTCCAACTTACTTATCAAAAGGTAACAAATAAAGTGCAGTTTTTGTTCAGGAAAGAGACTAATTATTATCGTTTCTTATAAATTACAGTTTTCTGTTCTTATCGAGGATCCGCTCGACGGGAGACTTATTGTATTCTAGTTTTGGATTATTATTTTATCAGAATTATGTTAGGGCTAAGTAACTATTTCTAGGTTAGGTTAGTTTGTATACATCACTTCACAAAATGCCTACTATATCAAAGTTAAAAATAAGCAGAAAAAAAAATTCTCTATGCCGTCTCAGAAACATTGCCAGAATAGAGGGAACAATTTATGAACGAGAAGTAATTGATAGAGAGAGGACAATTGAACCACCTAGGGTAGAGCGGACAATTGAACCACCTAGGTTAGAGCGGACAATTGAACAGCCAAATGTAGAGCGGACAATTGAACCACCTAGGGTAGAGCGGACAATTGAACAGCCAAATGTAGAGCGGACAATTGAACCACCTAGGTTAGAGCGGACAATTGAACAGCCAAATGTAGAGCGGACAATTGAACCACCTAGGGTAGAGCGGACAATTGAACAGCCAAATGTAGAGCGGACAATTGAACCACCTAGGGTAGAGCGGACAATTGAACAGCCAAATGTAGAGCGGACAATTGAACCACCTAGGGTAGAGCGGACAATTGAACAGCCAAATGTAGAGCGGACAATTGAACCACCTAGGTTAGAGCGGACAATTGAACAGCCAAATGTAGAGCGGACAATTGAACCACCTAGGGTAGAGCGGACAATTGAACAGCCAAATGTAGAGCGGACAATTGAACCACCTAGGGTAGAGCGGACAATTGAACAGCCAAATGTAGAGCGGACAATTGAACCACCTAGGGTAGAGCGGACAATTGAACAGCCAAATGTTGAGCGGACAATTGAGCCACCTAGGGTAGACACTTCCGGAAGGAGAATTTTGTCGTTCAAGAGTCTGATTGATGGAATTTATGACATATCCTCTCATTGCTCGAGCTGTCGAGTTGCAAAAATTGGTCGCTAGATTTGGAAAGGCGAAAAGGATTATCGACTGAATGCATTTTTAAATGCGCCTGTGGGTGGGTTGCGGTTATTAGTAGCGATTCGGATTGCAATACTCTTCCAATTAACGACAGTTTTGCGTGGGGGTGTGAATGTTCTCCCGTTGGGTTTTCGGCTGCAACGTCGCTGCTAACAACTATGGACTTGCCGTGTCCAGATCCTAGGACATTTAAAAAAGCAGAGGAAAGCTGCAAGGCCCTAATGGAGGAAGCTTTCGTACAAGAGATGAAGGAAAACCTCGCTCGAGAAAGGGAACTGGCTGTAGAAGCAAACAGCTTCGTTGTAGTCGAAGGAGTTAAGTATGCTGCGATAACAGTATGTGTTGACGGGGGATGGTCAAAACGAAGTTATGGTCACACTTACACAGCTAATTGTGGCATTGGTGTAATAATAGGAATGCAAACAAAAAAAATAATATTTGCTGACACTCGATGCAGTACTTGTATTGTGTGCGATAAAGGTAACAATGAAAATCGGGATCACGATTGTCCTAAAAATTGGTCAGGTCCAGCTACAGCGATGGAATCAGATATTCTAACAAACGGGTTTGCACAAAGTCGACTACACGAAGTAGTTTTTACAAAATTTATTGGCGACGGAGATTCCTCCTTCCATGCAAATGTCGAAGATGTATATCCAGGAATTAAAGTTAAAAAAATTGAATGTAAAAACCATTTATACAAAAATTTAACAAAGAAATGCACGGCACTGGCAAAAAACAAAATCACAGGAAAAAATGCTAAAAATATTTCCATAGAAGAAAGACGCAATTTTTGTAAGCACCTACACCGCATTCCTATAGCCATTAAAATGGCTGTAAAACATTACATTGAAAATAAAACAAACGATTCGTGGAAATATCTAAAACATGATATCCTCAATATTCCATTCCACATTTTTGGACGTCATATCAAGTGCAAATCGTACTTTTGCGATACCAGTGACCCCTCTAAAGCAGTTGAAGCAGACAGAGTGGCAGAAATGATGACGTGTAGTTTCTGGGAACCGCTAAATACAGCTCTAAGGAAAATATCTAACGAAAGCTACAGTTTGATAGAAAACCAAACAAGCAATGCTTCAGAGAGCTTTATGTCCGTTGCTAACAAATTCATGGAAGGCAAAAGGAAAAACATGGGCCAGAAGGGCCTTTACCGACATAGGATGCTAGCAGCTGTCTTCTCTTATAACAACTGCTCATTCTGGCCAGCCAAAGTGTATACAACACTACTTACCAAACCTCCATCCTTTTTTGCCGCAAGTCCTGACGGACTGCTGGAGGAGGATGGTTTATTAGAAGTGAAATGTCCCCATTCAATTCGCGATAAAGATCCAAAAGACTGGCCTACATATTCGCCTAAAACCAGTTGCCTTGAATACAAGGATGGGATACTCCGTTTGAAATTGTCGAATTCGTATTATTATCAGGTTATAATGCAAATTTACGTTACAAGGCGCCAGTGGTGTGATTTCTTTGTTTGGACGCCAGTGGGGTATCATTTAGAAAAAATTTATCGTACTGATGACACTGATCAGCTCTGGGAGGTGATGAAAATTAATATGGAATATTTTTGGGAAAATGACCTTGCACCTGAGCTGGTTGATTCAAGGTTTGACCGAGGATACACTGAGTATAGATGCCCAGAATCTAGAAAAGATGCAGTCGCTAAAAAAGCTAATAAAAAAACCCTCGCAAGGAAACGTAACCACACAGGTCAAACAATAAATAATCTGGATATGCAAAAATAAAAATTTTATTCACTAAATTTGGTTTGTTATTACTAATGTATTATGCTTATTATTGTAATAAAATAATTAAATTTAGTAAATTTGTCCATTATATTCTTTATCCTGTATCCTAGCATACATCCAGATGTAAATAAACTTATACAACGGAAAAAAAGTATCAAAATCAATAAAGAACAAACAGATTTTATTTCCACGCAAAATCATAAACTCACAAAAATAAATTATTGTTCCATCAGAATCAAATCCTCCTCTTCCCGAGTAATTAGCTGTTGCTCCTGCTGTTGTTCTTGCAGCTGTTGTTGCTGTTGCTGCTGTTGTTGTTGTTGCTGCTGTTGTTGTTGTTGCTGCTGTTGTTGTTGCTGCTGCTGTTGTTGTTGCTGCTGCTGTTGTTGTTGCAGCTGTTTTTCTTGTTCCTGCCGCTGTTCCTGTTCCTGCCGCTGTTCCAGTTGTTGTTGGGGCCAGTTCCCAGGAAGCCTAGGGGCGGCCCCACCCTCTAATTCAGTCAACCGCTGCATTAGGACAGGGTCGTGTCTTCCCTGCGTTGCGAACCCATGGGACATCCAGCCTCGGAAGCCACCCCGATGACCCCGTCCAGCATGCTGTCCCCACCAACCTCTCCCGTAATTTTGAGCTCTCCCGGAATGTTGTGCTCTCCCGGAATGTTGAGCTCTCCCGGAATGATGAGCTCTCCCGGAATGTTGTGCTCTCCCGGAATGTTGAGCTCTCCCGGAATGTTGAGCTCTCCCGGAATGATGAGCTCTCCCGGAATGTTGAGCTCTCCCGGAATGTTGAGCTCTCCCAGAATGTCCCCCTGGGGAAGGGGCCTCAGAATGAGGCAGCACGCTTTCCTCCTGATTGCGTCTATGCCGTTGCCGGACACCTTGACCACGCCTGGCACGTCGTCTGACTCCACCCGCAGCACCCGCAGCCTCATAAATATTATAGGTTATTGAAACCATAACTGTAATTTATAAGAAACGATAACATAGTCTCTTTCCTGATGCGAAAATACACTTTATTTGCTCACTTCTTCTAACTAAAGTCTCCCGTCGAGCCGATCGTCGATTAGCACAGAAAACTGTTTTTTATAAGAAACGATAACTATTAGTCTCTTTCCTGATGAGAAAATGCACTTTATTTGTTACCTTTTGATAAGTCAGGAGAGCGAGGACAAGAAACTCAACGGATCCGCAACAACTGCCAGTAAAAGAAAGACACGAGAAGATTTCAAAATTTGCCGGGGGGAGAGTCCACTTTTTCGAGGGGTTTGGGGCTTTATGCTACCATGGGCCGCTCTTATGGTGTATAAAGACCCTTAAGGGTACAATTTGGAAATAATTTTGTGGAACAGTTGACCCCTTTGATCGTTCAGGAATTCTGTATTCGGCAAACAGCTTCGCTATTGCTGGTATGGAAATAAATCAAGTACTAACCATGCATTATTTAGTATCGAACATATTATTTTATGTGTACGCTCGCTTCGGACGTTTGTCCGTCCGTCGATCACGCTCGACTAGACTTTCTCAACGGGTTAGGCTTGTTATTGGAAAATAAGGGGAACTAATTGTTCCTCAATAATTCAAATAATGGGACAAACTGACCATCATTCTAACCAGCTTTTTCCTGGTGTCGGTAACCCTGGATGCTGTTTTACTTATTTTGCCCGACGGGGTGGGAATTGGGACCCTGCTCCCGTACGGGATTGCATGTCATGAACTGAGGATGAATAAAATTGAACTAATTTTTTTATTTCCGGTGAAGAAAGCTCATTTTCAATGGATGATACGTTTTAAGTCGATATTTTTATACAATTGTTATGTGGAACTTTTAAATTAGCAGTTCATTTTAGTTCTTAATATTTACTTAGGAGTTACAATAATGTAAACCGGAATTTAGAAAGATGGATAAAAATTGATTTTGATGAGGTTTGCACTGTTTGTGAACTGATTTTTTTGAGTATACATGAATCAATACTTTGGTTCTACTCCGCCCCTTGCTCGAGTGGGAGGGGCCGAAAGTCGCAAAATCTGAAAACTGGGCAGCGGATTTCTCGATGATGGAAAAAGATATGGAGATGCTACTTTCACCTTTCTAGCGATACCCCATAATTGGGATATCGCTAGAAAGGTCTCGGCGGGAGGATTCAGAATATGTATACTTTTGGGGTCTGGGACCACCCCCTGCTTCGCTTCACCCATTAATAATTTTGCTAATCAAGCTACCAAAATAAATTCTTCACTTTCAACGTTAACGTTCTTTACACATAAACATATCCTACAAAACAATATTCTTATGAGTAAATTGAATATTTAATTCTGACCAATACATTCTCAGATCGGACCCACAACACATACTTAACTCAACAAGCGGTCAAGATCCCAAAAGTAATCAGCAGAGACTATAAGTACCATACACATGAATTGCTCCAAGTTTTTATGGAAAACTAGCCGAGAACCCCGTCTTAAAAACGGGCCACATTTTGGATTGGCTTATTAAGTAAATAAGTGCAAGAATAATGTAGCTAAAACAGTAGTAGCTTTGTTTGATAAGTTATTTAACTGTTGTTAAGGAGTTTTTTAAAAGGATACTAAGGCATTTAAGGCTTACTAAGGCGTTGCTACAGAAATTTTTTATATTGCCAGGCAATTTTTTTCATGTTGCTAAGGAAATTTTTAACGTTGCTAGGGAATTTTTTAAGGTTGCTAAGGAATTTTTCTAACGTTGCTAAGGAATTTTTTTATTGTTGCTAAGGAATTTTTTTAATGTTGCTAAGGAATTTTTTTAATGTTGCTAAGGAATTTTTTTATTGTTGCTAAGGAATTTTTTTATTTCCATTGAAATTAATTGAATTACACAGAAAAGTATATCACAGAGTTAGTAAATCACGAAAAATCTGACTACACGGGAGTCGCACAAAAAAAGGCCCTACTTATGTAAAAAAAATTTTGAATTAAAATTGCTAAAGACGAAGATCGCAGAACAATCGTGACAAAATCGAAGTCAAGAATCCAGAAAAAATCGCTACGGGGTTACAAATAATAAACCTCTTCCAACTCTTTCCCTGGAGGAAGTGTACCCAAAATCGACGCGACGTTTCCTCGTTGCGCGGCGAGGGAAACTCGTTGGCGGAGAAAATTGACAGCATTGAGCTGTCCGGTCGTGGAGGCAATCCTTTGCCCGATTTGTTCGATGAGGGCGAGCCCCTCCTGCCCCCAAACTCCAGTCGTTTCCATGGCAACCGGGACAAAAATGTACCGGTCCATCAAGAACGCGTATTTCTTCTTCTTGGCGTCCTCCGCCTTGCTGGCTGCAGCGCCCTGATGGCGCACCGTGTCGGGTAAATGGCTGGGGGCGAAGGTGTCCGCGCACGTAAAGTCCCACACGAGGGTCCTCCCCCTCGCCCACGGCACAAGCGTCATCCCATCAGGACGCTTGCCGTCCGTGGTGGAGCACCCCGCTGGCTCCCTGATGCAGGGTACCTCCGCCGATCGGAGGGCCCTCGCGATGACGTCGTTGGCGGCCTCGTGGCGGGACCAACGACCGGCGCTCCGGCGGCAAGAGAGACCGTGTAGGCCGCGGGAGGAGACCTGGGCTCCGCACGAGCATTTGTGCGGCTGGCAAATGTCGCAGCCGAGGCGGAGAGCAACGGAGACACGGAAGGTCTCGTTGGAAAGGAGCGTGCCTAGTTGTGGAGACGGAAGGGTGTTGAGCCACACCCCCGCGTATTTGTTGCGCAGAGAACGGAGTCGGGCAATGTCCTCCGGGATAACTGCCAAATCGGAGAGATGGGACAAAGTCTTGTCCAGAATAGGGCGCTCCCACGCTGCTTGGACTCCTCTGACGGTTTCAGGTGGGAGGTCCGTGAGGCCGAGATCCGTCCAGCGCTGTACTCCCTCTGCCATGGCGATGTCGCTGCCATGGAGATACTCCGGAAGGAGACGTTCGACGTGGGGCAGGACGCTGTGGGCGGACGCGAGAAAACACGGTATCGCCACATCCACAGCGTGCCTGACCCCGAGGCCGCCTTCCTTCACGGGTAGGGAGGACTGCATCCATGCAGCCTCCGAGAGAGTACAGTTGAGGATCCCCTCGAGCGCGTCCTTAAGGGTAGCGTCGTAGTGAGTGAGGGCATCCATCTTCCTCCACGACGGGGCGCAGCGGAGAAAGTAGATGAGCCGAGGGATGGAAATTGACGCGCGGAGTAAGAAAAAGGCCGAGGGCCGAGTGGGCCGAGAAGTCGTTGGGAGAAAGTTGCCAGTTGTTGGGTCTTGGTTGCCAGGACAACCTCCAGCGCTTCATTTGTGAGAGGGGAGCCTAGCAACATCGCAGAATCGGGGGACATTAGCTGGATCCCGGGGGCAACTTGCTGGAATTGGAGGAGAATGTCGATGGCTTCTTCGCGCTCCGCCCCCAGGATCCCCACTTCACATTTCTCCGTGTTGAGGTGGAGGCCAACTTCGCCGCTCATCCTAGCAACGGTTGCTAGGGCGGCCAAAACTTTCTCCGGTGAATCCCCCATGGCCCCATCGTCGAGGTACCACAAGTTGAGCTCCGTTTCCACCGCTTCGACGATGGGGTGGACCACGAGGGAGAAGAGGGCGGGGCCCAAAGGGTCCCCTTGTTGGCAGCCGAGTAGGGAAGGGATGGGGATCATTCCGTAGAAAAGTGACGAAGGGCTGGCGTAACACTGCACCACGAACGGGAAAATTGCAGGGAACATGTCGCGGACGACGTCGAGGAGCGTGTCCCTCCTAATTTCGTTGAAAGCGTTCCTGAAGTCAATTTTCAGGAACGCTTTTGGAGAGGTGTGGGGGTGGTTGTAGTAGACGCGGGCTGCGTGGGTGCCGATCTCCGCACCTCCTTTAATGCCCACTGATTTTTTTAATGTTGCTAGGGAATTTTTTTATTGTTGCTAAGGAATTTTTTTATTGTTGCTGAGGAATTTTTTTAATGTTGCTAAGGAATTTTTCTAACGTTGCTAGGGAATTTTTTTAAGGTTGCTAAGGAATTTGTTTAATGTTGCTAAGGAATTTTTTTATTGTTGCTAAGGAATTTTTTTAATGTTGCTAAGGAATTTTTTTAACGTTACTAAGGAATTTTTTTAACCATAATCATAGCCATAATCATAACCATAATCATAACCATAATCATAACCATA